CAAACCAATTGTTCATTAGAGGATCAGTGAGACATAAGGAACAAGAAGTAACTTCAGGGGTAAAACAGTAAATTGACCCAGCTCTAGTTACGAACAACCTGTGAAGGATCGACTTACTAATCATGGTTATATCAAATGGACAGAAATATATCTATAGTGAGGGGAGTGCAACTACTAGGCTATTGTGGAATGTCCTTGTAGTTAACGAATGTTGGTTAACAAGGTTAATGAATTTAACCGGTTAATCTTGGATCGTTGGAGCCCATGATCTATAGGTCCATTAGATCCCTCTGCTAGCTCATATCGGATTAAACCATAGAACAGTGTGACGAGTGAGTTCGGAAGTGTTCGAATTCAAATTAGGGAGAATGCGCTACATATGTATGATATATTTAACCGCATTTTTGTTTTATTTACGAACTAAACAAAAATAGAGAATTTGAGATATTTAAATAAGATTTAAATATGTTAATCAAATATGTGTCGGAATTAATTGAGATTGACATTTGAATTAATATTAAATATTAATTAAATAGTTTAATTAATCATTTAATATTACTTTAATTTGAAATTAATAATTCAAATGGATCGTTGAATCAAAATGAAGAAGGTCAAAATGTTGACTTCATTTAATGTAAAAATCTATGTTAGTGGAATTTTGAGGTGTCAAAATTTGGTTTAACCAAACTGGAATGATTATCAAATAAACCCCACAAATTTAAGTGTAATTTTGAAGGTCAAAATTTGGTGATCTCAAATTTGCATGAACATGCAAACATGACTATAAATAGAGTGATCATAATACATGAAGGGTCTTATTGTTGGTGAAAACATTTGAGAAAAACCTCTCACAAACACTCTCTTCATATATACAAAATTCCTCCCAAATTTAGTCATTCACTGGATTCCACAATCTCGTTCTAAGGCCGGAGGATAGTGGAGAAGACACTAGTGGTGGTTCGAAACCGGTTCGTGAGGAAAAAGAAATTTGAACTACAAAATGTTAGTATTCAAACTCATTAAGTTTTAATATTTATGAATATGCTAGTTATTTACTATAATTGATGTTCTAAAAGTGTCTAAGATTCAAATTGCTTTCGCATGTATTATATTAACACCATCACGATCTTGGTATTGTTATCCAACTTCAAAACTTCGGATGTCTATTTAACACATCCTTATTATATTCATCACTCTGATGAGTCAGGATTTTCACTTGTTCCAATCAAATTAAATGAAACAAATTACCAATCCTAGAGTGAATCATTTATGCATAAATCAAGAAGCAGCTCTCAAGTTCTGAGATAATCTATTTTTTTGTTTTGCATCTTTTTGGGAAATTCAATAATTTATTGAGAAGTCTAAAAATGCAAACCATATCAATTTTTGAGTATTGCATCTTTTTAGGAAATTCAATAATTTCTTATGTAGATAAAAAATCGCTATCTTATCCAAGCATATATAAAATAAATGATTGATTCCATGTAAGAAATTATTGTATCTTTCTTGTAAATTCAATAATTTCTTGAAAGTCTAAAAAGCAAACCAATGTGTCCAGATTATTAGCAAATACTTGTTTAAACTTAATGTTAAGGATATTTAGTAATAAATTATAGTTTACCATATATATTATATTTGATATTTTATTATAAGGCAAATATCTAATATTTACTTTATTATCATAGGTATCTTTCAATTTATTGTTATTTTCATTTATTACTATTTCCATATCCTTGTAATTCATTTGATTATAAATAAGATAACTTTCACACCATTTAGGTGTGGTGGATTAATCAAACATTCACACTTAACATGACAGATATTTTTACTTCTGGGAAGACAAAATTGTTATTGGCCTACACTCTCTTCTCAAAGACAAGTTGAGTGTTATTGACCTAAACTCTCTCTTTTCACTGCTGAGAAGACAAAAGTGTTATTGACTTAAACTCTCTTCTCAAAAACAACTTGGATGTTATTGACCTACACTCGTAAAGACAAGTTGGATGTGACTAACATACTCGGGGGAGCGTTAAGATATAATATTTAGATAATATATTATTCATGGAATATATCTTAAATATTATATCTTAATATTCTTTTCTTTATGATTTGATTTATAGTTTGTTTCATTTTATTCTCAATATTTAATTAGTTTATATTTTTCTTATTGGTAGGTATTAGTTGTTAGATTGTATTCAACTGGTTTTTATGAATATGAATGAGAATATGCCTTCGAATCTAATTCTATTTTATTTCTCATTCTTAATTGATTGGGACTCTTCTTTTTTGAGCCTGTCATACATCGCGGACCACTGCCACACAGATGCCCGTGGTCCACGGTGTCTCTATTTTAAATAATCATTAACAATTAATTATTGTTTTGCGTCATTATCCACTTAATGTGAAGGAGTAGAGTAAATTATTAGGGGGAACTAATGATGAGGGTAGAATTGACTTTTGGACTTGAATGTATATTAATTAATATTGAAAAAAAGGTAAGGAGATTAATACACACGTGTGTAGTTCATAGCAGAAAGAGTTCAGGTGCGGGCACTCGCACGAGAGGTTGATCAAGTGATGTGGAATGAGTGCGAAACACGTGGATGGTGGGGCCGAGTGCCAGGTCATGGTGGGACTGGAGGAGGACGTCCCTTGAATTTCTAAATGATGATTGGTGGGGCGGCAGTAGCATAGCCATTGGTGGATAGTCCACCAGGTCACAGATTACAATTAGTCGAGGGGGGCGTGGGCTCCATTCGAACCCAGGACGGTGAAGAAGAAATAAATTAAAGGCTATGTGGAAATAATAGAGCGCTGAAGTGAAGTCCAGCAGCGTCCGCCTCCTCCTTCACTCTCGATTGAGTTCAACGTCCAGCGTTCGAACAATTCCCTTCGTAGTTTCGGTAATTTAATTTTTTTTTTCTCTTAATTGATTCAGAATTGTTCTAGGATTGCAGTTTTGTTTCTTGATCTTGTAGGAGTGTTTCTGGTTCTTCTTCAACCTTGAAAATGGCGTCGATTCATCTGTCGGAACTCGACTCCAACGCCACCGACTCAGGTGCATCGTCGCCGAGATTCGACCACCACTTTCGCGATCCACATGCTCGAGTTCGATTCATGTGCAGTTTCGGTGGCAATATCCTACCCCGGCCGCATGATAATCAGCTCCGATACGTTGGCGGTGAGACTCGCATTGTCGCCGTTCAACGTTCCACTACTTTCTCCTATTTCCTTGCCAAACTCGCTAAGATCACCGGCAAGTTTATCTTCGATTCTCTGTTTTTTTCATTCAATTTGGGATTTGGAAGTCTTGATTCGAAATGGAATTGAATTTGTTTGTTTAGGGACAATTAACATGAACATAAAGTACCAGCTTCCCAATGAAGATCTCGACGCCTTGATTTCAGTGTCGACGGATGAAGATGTGGAGAATATGATGGATGAGTATGATCGGCTTGTACAGAATCATGATCCAAAATCGGATAGGCTGCGATTGTTTCTATTTCCAAGAGGGGAAGATTCCAGAGCCAGTAGTATTAATTCTCTCCTCGGCGGCTCCACAAATCGGGATCACTGGTTTCTTGACGCTCTCAACGGCGGCGCTCCAGTGCCGGAGCTCGAGCGTGGTCGGTCGGAAGTTTCTTCAATCGTCTCTGAAGTACCGGACTATTTGTTCGGTCTCGACAATCAGGAAGATGCTTCGACTCAATCACGAGAACCCAAATTGAAGAGTCGATTTAATATCAATCCGTCTGAGAATGTTTCGGCTTCGAATCCTGAATCGCCATCCCCTTTCGTGCCGTCGGCGACTTGTGTGACTCCGATGCCCAGTCTTGCACCGGTTAAAACTCGGCCCGATACGCCGTCACCGAGGGCAGAGGCGGTGGATAAAACGCCGGAGAATTGTGAACCGCCGGCGATGCCGTTCTCTCAACCTTCCAGGTTTACGAATAATCCGATGATGCATTATTTCCCGGGTACAAATTATCCGGCTCATCAACCGGTCGTCTACCTTCTTCCAGGTCAGATTCCGCCTGGTAATGTTCCTGTCCAGCATATTCCGACCCAGCCTCCGCCTCCGTACGCTCAACAGTTCCCTCCGGTGGGTGGGGGTCAGGTGCCATTAGCGTATCATCCCCCAGTTACAATGGGGGGGCAAGTGTACGGAGGAGGAATGGGTCCAGTGAGTGGTTACGATCCACAGGCGGAGGCGGCGAGGATCGCTGCAGACGGCGTTAGCCAACAGATGTATTATGGAGTCCAAAATACAGCGAGGGCTCCGCCGTATGCGGGGGCTATGATGGCACCTTTGGTGGCCGAAGAATTTCGAGGAAATGGATCGGAAACAAGGACCGGTAGCCGAGTATAGCTATAGCTATAGCAGCAGACGGTGGAAAAGGATCAGTTAATTAGATTTGTAATTTTTACAACAAATTAAAAATTTGGGATTTAATTGTTGGTTGATTATGGGTTTTTGATGATTCAACGGCGTGACCAGACTGTAAAATTGGTGTACTAAAGCTGCAAATACAATATTCTTACCGTTACTTTTATAAAATAAGACAGATTCTCTCATCATGGACTTTCTCTCGTAGTCTACCGCTGCCCACCGTTATCCCCCATTTGGGACCCAAATTTACCAATATTGTCTTATTTGGACTTTCTCTCAAAGTTTTTAAAGCTGGTCTACAATCCACCCTTTTGGGGCCAGCGTCCTTGCACACTCATTTCTCTCTCCCATCGACATGGAATTCCCTAGTCCACCCTCCTTCGGAGCCCATCATTCTTGCTCGCATACAATCCACCCACTTCGTGGTTCAATCTCCTCACTAACACACCGATTGGTGTCTAGCTCTGATAGTATTTGTAACGGCTCAAGCCCACTATTAGTAGATATTATCCTCTTTGGTATACCAAACACGTCCATTAAAAAGAGGTTTACACATCCTTACAAGAGTATTAAGTTTCTCTATTCAATCCAACCGAAGTGAGATGGTATATACAATTTTAGAAGAGTTCTTGTATCGATCTGAACACTATCATGTGTGTTTACACAAGAAAAGAAAAGAAGGAAAAAGAAAAGAGAGGAGTCACTTTCAACCCCCCAACCTCTAATATCGAGGTTCACAAACCACATCCCCATTGCACCAACCGCAGCCCAACCAGTTCTGGAGGGCAATACACCAAAAGTAAAGCAGCAACAGTAGCAGCTCAAATTTCTGAACCCTCATCCCTTGAGGGCAAAGTTGCTGAAACAAGGCAGCGTGCCGTGACCTTCGGCAATGAATCAGACGAAGAATCCCGAAAGAATGTCCTAGGCAGAGCAACCGACGTCTTGCTACATGCACGCATAGACTCAAGAGTGATCGTGATTAGCCACATCCTTTAGAATGCCACAGGCTTCAGAAGATTTGGTTGACACAGGATCAGGTTTATTTAGCTCCACAAATCGGCTGGCTTCACCATAACTACCTATACATATTGTGTCACCCCGACCGTGCCATGTGCCATCTTGAACATTATTCATTTCCAGCGTTCGTGATTCCTGCTCCACATTTACAAGTATTTCAGTGATGACCTACGAATATAAGGTTTTGATGTGCAAAAACTGATAGACAGACCTGAGATAAGGCGCAGCAGGGGCAGATCAGGTGGTAGATGCAATCATCCAAGGAATTATCTCCTCCCTAAATCATAAAATTAATATTAATCTACACATAAGTACTAAGAAAACGCCCGCCGAAAATTTAATTCGAAACCACTACAAGCTTGCTCATGTTATCCATATATGAACTCTCTCCTTAATCTCTTTTTTCACACACACACTATATGTTATTAGTCTCCCCATGCACATTATCAATAAACTGTGTCGTAGGAGTCTCCCTCCACACTATTAGTAATATTTCTCATACTAGTCTCTCCCTACACACAATTACACGTTCTAAGATACAAAAAGACTAATCCCAAACATACTAATAGTTGTTAGAATTTTCGTGGATTTCCGTTTGCTACTTATGGCTATCAACTCATTTACCCAATCTAATGAATAAAAAGGAACAATGGAATTATTTTGACTTGAAGTCTTTTTTTTTTTTTTTTTTTTTTTTTTTTTTATCAATTCGAGCGTAGTTCAATGATTAGACACCTATTGCCATTCGCCAACAAAACCAACTATAACTTTGAATTTTTCCTCTTCTTCAAGACCAGCATGTTATTCCAAGAGAAGGGGTGTTAGGATTGGGTCCCTCGATTCTTCTTTTGCACATTTTTTCCTCCCCTTCTCCATCCATTGTTGCCCTTGATTTTTCTTCTCTAGAAAGTTAGAATTCTAAAAAAGTTAAGGTGTTTGCATGGCAGATTTTACATGGGAGAGTCATTATCGTGGATTGCATTCAAAGGCACTCTTCCTATGCTTCTCTCAATGGTTCACTCTCTGTAGGAGGCACGAGGAGGACCTGGATCAATGGTTTTGAGTTTGCAAGTTAGCTCACCTCCTTTGGAGCTGTTGGTTGACAGTGTTCGGTACTATTGGGTCTAGAACAGAGATGGTATGGCTCACGTGTTGCGTCTCCATTCTAAGGATTAAGGTCGTAGCATGCTAGCTTCTTTGCATATTTGAGGAGCATTTGAATTGAGAGGAATAATATTTTTTTTTTTATAAGGTGGAGAGATCGGGTTAGTAAGTTTGGGAGGTGGCTAGAATTAACGCCTCCCTGTGGACGTCGGTCGTTGGGTCTTTTTTTCAGTTATGAGCTTAGTCTAGTTCTTCTACATTGGAATCTTCTTTCATAGTTAAAGTCAGACTCCCTTAATGTTTTGTTGGAGATTTTATTTTGTGCCCTTGTATTTTCTTTCTTTACTCTCAATAAAAGTAAGGTTTCTTACCCTAAAAAATATAATAATAATAGTAACTTTGATGATAAAAAAAAAAGGGGAAACAAAAAACTTGATCAGGAAAGGCAAAAGACAAATTTAGAGTACAATTTCAGCATGCTTGAAATAGAATGTGTTACGAATCCATTAATTATCAAGTAGAAATAAGAAACAGATAACAGCAAAAGGCTGATAGAAAAAGAAGTCTCACCCTTATATTGAATTTCCTCCTCATCTGGGTTCGGAAGAACCCCAAATATGTAACTGCTGAAATAGTGAAAGCAATGGCTGGATATAAAAAGTAATGGCGTTTTGTGACCAAAAAGGCAATGAAGTTGCACAGGGCACCGAGAGCAAGAGATAAATAAACCGTTCCCTGCAAATGGTTTCAAAATTATGGCAAATTGTCTACTATCCATTACGAAAATTTGATGAGCAAAGACAAGTGTAATCTGGACTCTAACTTCTTCCCCTCTCCTTTTAAAGCTTCAAGAAGCCAAGAAAACGTTTACCTGAAGAAAACAAGAGCCAAAACCAGCCCTTGCCATATTCTTCCCAAATCTGTGACACGGCCAGCTGCATCATTAATACAAGCTATGAGAATACTTGGGGTGAAAACCAATTTCTTTGATGTAGAAAAAAAGTCGTACATATAGTAAATTATCAATCATAATTACAGGTTCGAGCTTAAGCAGGGCAAGATACACATCCCCTGTTGGATAATGACAACCAACCACAGGTACTCGGAGACCATGAGGAAAAATTGTGCACAGAAACTATTGATTTAACTTTTTTAGAATCACAAGCTGAGGCCTGAAAGACATATTCCAACTAATAACAGATAATATCATGGTCAAAACCCTTTTTCTTTTTGTTCATTTTTTGCAGAGAAAACTCAACCGAAGAAGAAACCAGTTCTTTGCCCAAACAACCAATCTCCTCGCCATAAGAGGAAAAAAATAACATAAAAAAGGAAAAAAAATCCCTCGATCGGTCGACAAATTTCTCAATGAACAACAGAGAGAGAGAGAGAGAGAGAGAGAGAGAGAGAGAGAGAAAATCCCTGAAAAAGCTGAAAGTAAAGAAGAAAAAGTGGATTAACAAGTCTAACCATGTGGATTCGATAGCGATACGACGGTCATCGAAGCAATCGAGTAGTTCACCTTCCCACATCCTAAAAACTCCCCCCAAATCGGGTTCCATAGGAGCATCACGAGTAGTCTCCAACTTCGCCCATTTACCCTGCGTCTGCATAGCCACCGTAGAACACAACATATCGAAATCCACTAACGTAACCCCCTCGAGAAGCTTCTCCTCCTCTTCTCCAACAACAACATTCCCAAGCCCCGTATCCTGATTCTCCAAATCCGCCATTAGAACACAAAAAGTAGAAACCTAGGGTTTTATTTGAACAGTGGTAAAGAGAATCGAGGAGGAGGAGGAGGAGGAGGAGAATGGAATAATCGAGCGCGTGACTATTTATTGCACAATTTGTTTTTAATCTGTTGGGAAGAAAGTTGTCTTTATGCTGTTCAGACAGAGAGATATGAACACTAATATTATCCGTTTTTAAAATGAGGTCAAAATTGGCGGCCAAAAATGTGAGATATGAACGACCCAGGTGGTGCCACGTAGGAAGATATCAAAATTAAAAAATAAAACAGGAATATTATTGCTATATACTCGGCAAAATTAACGCCCCTCTCCCACTCCAATCTACCGGATTTTGGTTCAAATTTACTAAAATATCTAAAAAACCGGTTTTATTTTGGGGAATATATATATATATATATATATTCATGTATGTATATGTGGCTGGTGTGACTCACATGGTGGGACCCATTTGTTCCCATTTCTGGTGGGTTATCTGTTAGGTCACCTTCTTATCCATATTCCAACTATACAACTGGACGTGCATAATCCAGTGTCTACGGATTTATTTTTCCCTTAGGTCAACCAACACGTTGACTCCAATCATGTTTTCTTTGGGCCGTTCCAACATTGGGCCGAATCCAGCGCTACGAACGTTCCGCTTATTAAAAATATTTTTTTTATAATAAATCGATAATAATAGTTTTATAGCATCAACAAATTAATTCAATGTTTGTCTTACAAATTTAAGAAATAATTATGAATTTATAATCGAATACTATCTTTATTAGGCTTGAAACCTTTTGGAGAAATTCAAACCAAAATCATGAGAACTTAGACTCAGAGTGGATAATATCATACGATTTTGGTGAGTCATATTTATCTAATAGAGTAATGCCTTAAACTCAGTTATGTTAATAGAATCCTCAAATATCCAACAAAGTAGTCTGAGTCAAAGAATGACTAAGATGGGTACTATATGAAAGTCTCACGTTGACTCATTTAATTGGAGGACAAGTAATTTTATTCATAAAAAGAGGTGGTAAAAAGTAATTGGATTAATTAATTTATTTATTTATAATGGGGATTATAGTGACTAAGAGCGAGAGGAGAGTGATAACCAAGGAACCACTTGATGTTCCTTCTCATCATCACTGTCACTGCCACCGCCAGAGCCGCCGTTAGAGCTCCCACGTCCTTCCTCCTCACCCACTCTCCTTCTCCCTCTTCGCTGCGCCGTCTTCCCGTTTCGCCTGTTTTTCTCGACACAGTTCTGACAAAACGCAACCGTGGCCACAAGCCTTGGTCCAGACCCATTCCAAGGCGTGGGGGCTTGACAATCATGGCACAGCAAAACCCTCCAGTGTTTCCCCACCAGAAAATTGGCGCCATGGACCTTGGAATCGCACCCCCAACACAACCTTGCCTCGTCCGATTCGCATATCACAGTCGCCACACAGTCGCACAGCTCGCACAATTTCTTCATTTTCACTCGCTTACGACACTTACTTGAGTCATTTATATAACAGAGGAAACTCAAAAGCGGTTTGAACAAAGGGTTGGAAGGGAGCGGCCATTAATGAAGGGTGGCCCATTGAAGACAAATCCTCGAGCTAAAGGGAATATTAAGTTGGGTTTTGGGTTCGTTCTTTCCCTGTATTTGGCACAAAGAAAGATCATGGAAAAGGGGGAGAGGGAGACGGGGATTTTTTTCGCTATTGTACGCTACCTATTGTGATCATTTTAGTGGCAAGTGGGTGTTGGAGACAATTTGTGGCCACAATCAATGAATCCGATTCTGTGGGCGAAGAATTCTGGGTTTTTCATTTCCTTTCCCCTGGTTTGCAAGTTTATTTGTTAAAGGTTGAACTGTCGGAATACAGCTCGAGTATGGTTGAGAGATGAGCATTCCAATCCTATAAAGAGTTTATATTTTAAAAAATTATAAATTAAGTTTTTAAGCCGTGAGAAGTGACTCAAGTTTCAAATTAATAGTGTGATTCGTTGGAAAGACTCTATAAATAATGTCCTATATTAGTTGGAGAAGAGAACAAACCACAATTTATAAGGGTGTAGAAACTTTCTCCAAGCAGACGCGTTTTAAAGTCTTAAGAGAAAGCTCGAAAGGAATAATATCTACTATCGGTGGATCTAGGCTGTTACAAATGGTATCAGAGCAAGACATCGGACGATGTGCTAGCCTTCTCGCTGTTCCCCGAGGGAGTAGACACGAGGTGGTGTGCCAGTAAGGACTCTGGACCCAAAGGGGGTGATTTTGGGGGCAGTCCCATATCGATTGGAGGAAAGAAAGAATACTAGCAACGACGCTGGGGCCCGAAGGGGGTGGATTGTGATGTCCCATATTGGTTGGGGAAGAGAACAAACCACCATTTATAAGAGTGTGGAAACCTTCCTATAGCAGACACGTTTAAAACCTTGAGGGGAAAGTTAGACAAGCCCAAAGAAGGACAATATTTGTTAGTGATGAATCTAGACGGTTACATATTTTGTTCAAATGGATAAATTTTTTAGAGATGAGTCACACGCCCACTAATTAAAGTGTTGATCATGAGTTTATAACTAAGGAATATATGTCCAGTGGTATGAAGCCTTTCGAGAAAACACACGAGAGCTTACAATATATAATATCATATTATTGTGGAGGTCCATAATTTAACCTAATAAGATTGGATATAGATTTAAACTCTATGTATTAAATATAAATATAAATGAATTTAAATTATATTACAACATATAATAAGATTTTTTTGTTTTTTTTCGATAAGAAAATTAGTTATTGCAGACTAAATTCATTATAAAAAATTGTTATATATATATATATTTCAAATAGACATATTTTAATTATAAAGTATTTTTTTTTTCGTGTTTATGGCGTATTAATTAATTAATTAAAATTTTGTGGATTAATTGTAGGAGGTCGGACCCTTTAATTGACCTTTTTTAAATCCTAATTTATAATTATTTATTTGCTGGATAGAGGAAACGACAAGAACAGTATTTAAAGGGCTTGACCTAAACATTAATTAAACACGATTGATTATTTTTAGTGTTATGTTGGAATTTTTATCACAGTACAACCCTACATTTTTTAATTAATTATACAATTATTGATAACAGGTGTACCCATTAAAACATATAGTTTTTTTTAATTTTAATTATTATTATTAAAATTGGAGTTGTTTTAATTCATGGAAAAGTGGGATTAATAAAATGTATTAAACTCATATAAAGTTGTTCATAATGGTGACCGAGGAATGAAGACATTAAAATAGTAAAGCACCAATTAAAATGAGCCATAAACTCTCTAAACCGGGTCTGTCGGTCGCACTGTTGCTAAATTCCACGCCACCCACAACGGTCCAACTAGGGCGGTCAGAGTTGGCGCCTCCTTCCCCCCGTTCTTCATTCCGGTCTTGCCCTTTTTATAAAAAAATAAAAATAATAATTATATTCTTAACCAATTTTTCCACGTGGGTATTAATTTTGAAGTTTATTAACGCTGATTTAAAACTAAACTTAATTTGTCATTATTTTAGCTTAAATTCTTCTCAAATTAAAATCGTATTTTATGTCGTCGACGAGGAAGAGTGGTACTTCTGCCTGCAACGTTTAGTGGGCTTGCGCCAACCATTTCGTTGAAACGTCTCCCGTTTGTGCTAAGAGCGAATATCTAATCCCCCACCTAAAAGGCTTTTATGGGTGGTTGTTCATATCAAATCATTTTCTGTCGCTAGAGAATATAACCAATACGCCGCCGTTGAAGTTTCTTCTCTGAATTTTACATATTAAACTTGTTTATTTCTTCTTCTTCTTCTTCTTCATCTCTTCTGACCCGGCAGAGTTTCTGTTCGGAGAAATCTTGATATGGGTGTTAATTGCAGAAGCGTTGTTGGGTTTTGTCAATTGTTAGTCATTTCAGCCTTCCTCTGTTCTTCTCCTCTGTTTTGCGATGCTGCAGATTCAATTGCGAGGGGTAGAGAGCTAAGAGATAGTACTAACGAAACCCTCATATCCTTGAATGAGTCCTACGAACTGGGATTCTTCAGCCCCACTAATTCTTCATCACGGTATGTCGGAATATGGTATCATAAGATCGAGGAACTGTCTGTTATTTGGGTTGCGAATAGACAGACGCCACTTTTTAATAGAGATGGGATTTTGAAAATCGGAGATGACGGGAACTTGGTCGTTCTGGACAGTAACAACGCCTCTGTTTGGACAAGCAATATCACAGCGAATGCTTCTGATCCCAGAAATTTAACTCTTCATAACAGTGGAGAATTGATTCTCTCGAGCGGAGATGACTCGTCGAAAGTTCATTGGAGCAGCTTCATAAACCCCACAGATACGTTTCTTCCGAATATGGAGGTGAAAGTGAACGCAGATATGGGCGAGAAACGAATGTTTATGTCGTGGAAATCAGAGACAAATCCGGCCGTCGGGAATTTTTGTCTGGGTGTGGATCCTCGTGGAGCCGTCCAGATTATCGTTTGGAATGGAGATAAACGATGGTGGAGAAGCGGCCACTGGGATAGGCAGATTTTTTCTGGGATTCCAACTATGCGTTCTACGACGTTGTACGGCTTTAAGGTTCTTCCTGACAGTGAAAACAACATTAGCGTAACTTTTCATGCACTGAATGATTCCGATAAGCTGAAATTTCAAATCCGGTGGGATGGAAAAGAAGCACAGCAACGATGGAATGAAGTAAGTCGCAAATGGGAAACGATTCGTTTACTTCCTTCTCACGATTGCGATTTCTATAACTTTTGTGGGGATTTTGGGGTATGTTCTGAAACGAGTCGTGTTAAGTGTAGCTGCCCTCAAGGATTTACACCCAAAAACATAGATAGATGGGATGGTTGTGAGAGGAGGACTCCATTGCTTCAACAGAGAATGAACAGTAGTCAAAATGGAACTATTGAAGACAGTGAAGAAGATGGATTTGTGGCCGTACCATTTGTGAAATTGCCGGATTTCATAAGTGGAGTATTTGTGGTGGATTCATGTAGAGATAGATGTTTGAACAGTTCTTCGTGTGTTGCATATTCGGATGCTCCTGGAATTGGGTGCATAATTTGGGATGGACCTTTAATTGATAT